CAACACGAAAACTAATACAGAAACTGGAAGTTAGGAGTGGCCGATGTGATGAGCCAACTGTGAGCCATAGGATGCTGTAAGCAGAGGTTAATGGACCATCCTGTGAGAGTTTGGAAGACTATAATACTGAGAGAAATACAGACAATGGAGGCTCAGCTCACGAGGTTTTAGAAGGGAACAAAGACTGGGTGACACTAGGCTAGAGACCATTCAGTTCTAGTCTATCGAAAACCTGGCTTCATTATGCCTGTGTCCTGAGAACTTGGTTGAGGTAGAATTCAAAAGCAATGTACTCGGCACCCTTCTGCTGCAGCCTGTGCTGGTGGTCTGCTGCCCCGCCTGGGCCTGGGCCTGCGCTGGTACTCTGCTGCAAGAGAGAGAGAGTTTTTTTTTTTTTTTTGAAGAGAAACAATAGAAATCACATAAAATTCTTAAAGCAAAAGGCCTCTTTTTTGATTATTGTTGCTACATACAAATATATGTATATATAAATATACAATATGAAAAAAAGCAATGTACTCATTTGCTGTAGAATAATGCTCTTGTACACTATAAAGATTTGTCACTCAAATTGGTTTAATAAAATGCTGATTGGCCAGTAGCCAGGCAGGAGGTATAGGAGGGGTGACCAAACTAAGGAGGATGGGAAGGAGAAGGGCGGAGTCAGGAGACACTGGCCAGATGCAGAGGGAACAGGAGATGAATGTGCCATGCCAATAAAGGTACCACCACATGGCATACCATAAATAAGGAATATGGGTTAACTTAAAATGTAAGAACTAGTTAATAACAAGCCTGAGCTATTGGTTGAGCATTTGTAATTAATATAAGCCTCTGTGTGGTGATTTGAGGATATGCAGCCAGATATTTGGTAAGAGGTGGGTGTGAGAGAAACATCCTTTTACACTCATTTCTTTGGTGGAGGAAGTTTTAAGACAGGATGGCATTTAGGCCACGGGGTGACTATTCACCGTTCCTATTCTATGGTAGTGGCTCTCATCCTTCCCAATGCTGCGACCCTTTAATACAGTTCCACATGTGTGGGGACCCCAACCATAAAATTACTTTCATTCCATCATAACTATAACTTGCTATGTTATGAATCATAATGTAAATATCTGATATGCAGGATATCTGACATGTGACCACTGCAACAGTTGAGAACTGCTGTTCTATTGAGAGAGAAAGAGAGAGAGAGAGAGAGAGAGAGAGAGAGAGAGAGAGAGAGAGAGAGAGAGAGAGAGAGAGCTGAGAGTTGAAAATGTGACATTTCAGGCTGGAGAGTTGGCTCAGTGGTTCCGAGCACAGTCCGACAGATGAGCAACACTAAGAGCTGAGCTGTTGGTCATCCGCCCTGGGGAAGCAAGGAGCTGGCAAGGAGCCTGGCTTCCAGGGTGTGGAAGACTGAGTCAGGGCTCTTCCTTCCCACCTGCTGTCAGAGGGAAGCGACTCACCCTTATGTGGCAGCGGTGCTCTTTTGGTGGTTTTGGGCCAGCTCAAAGGTTCGCCTCTCTTTTCCTGAGTGTGCTCATTTAGAGAATGATGCTGTTGGGTTCCATAGCTGCACAAAGTGCCCATCAATAGTGAAGGGGGAGAGAGGGAGGGAGGGAGGATGAAGGGTATCGGCCTTCATGGTTTCTGGAATTGACGCACGTGCAGACACAGTTGGGATGAATTTTTGAGGCTCTGTTTTACAAAGGTCCCTTTCTTCCTTTCCTCTCTCCCCTGTTCTGGATGCTCTCTCCTTAGATATCCTCTTCTTGAGCTCCTGACTCCCGGTTTCAGCCAGTCACTGCCTTCTCTGCATCTCTGGCTTGTGCAGTCAGGCTCTCCCAGCACTTCCTCAAGTGGCTTTCTGACAGTCGGCCTGGAATCCTCACGAGGTGGGGCGGGGGCTCAGCCACCCACCTCATCTGCACACAGGAGGCCTGGTGCGGGGCTCAGCCACCCACCTCATCTGCACACAGGAGGCCTGGTGCGGGGCTCAGCCACCCACCTCATGTGCACACAGGAGGCCTGGTGCGGGGGCTCAGCCACCCACCTTACCTATACACAGGAGACCTGGTGCTGGGCACAGCTACTGAAAGCCTGGGTTTGGGCACAGCTACCCACCTCACCTATACACAGGAGACCTGGGTCTGGGCACAGCTACCCAGCTCACTTATACACAGAAAGCCTGGGGCTGAGGCAAGGGCAGGGGCTGGGGCTGGGGCTGGGGCAGGGCTCAGCTACCCCCGTACTTCATCTGTACACATGAGGTCTGGGGCCGGGGTACAACTATTCACCTCATCTGTACACAGGAGGCCTGGGGCTGGGGCTGGGCACAGCAGGAAGTGTGGGCGTGGTAAGAATGTTCTCTTTACCTGTTCTCTTGCAGGACTGGGACTTCTGCCCAGGTCTGGGCCTCTTCCTTAGTTCCTTATCCCAGCAAACCGGGCTGATTCATCTTACCCTGCTCACTGCTTACGGCTATCATGTGTTAGGTCTGGGCTTTTGTCCCCAGTTAGGATAATCTGGCCAGTAGGCAGCTTTTCTTCAATGAATGAAAAATGAACTGAGCATAACTTCGGAGGAGGCTTTCCCCATCCCCTCCCTGTTTCGAACTCATAGCGTTCCAGGGCTCTGAAAGCCAGTCATGGAGCTGGGATGTCTAATTGCACGGATGTTGGCTCTATTCTGGCATCCTTTCATTTCGATTACATGGAGTGGAAAATGATCCCCTTTGATTAAACCAGTGCGGAGGGTAAATATTATCCTTGGCGTTTTGGCAGAGAAGCCTCACATTCAAGAGAGAGTGTAGACACCTGCGGTCCCCTGGGTCATGTGGAGTTGTCTGGGGGGAAGCCCCCTGCAAGGGACAGGAAGGCTCATTGGGCTCATTATGGAGCCCCCTTTTCCTGAGAGTCCTTATACAGAGAGGTACAGCACTTCTTAGCGTGTGTTCAGAGCATCCTGCTTCCCACAGACAAGGCTTCACGTTTTCTCATTATACGTGTGTGTGTGCCTGTTTCATGGTGCACTTATGGAGGTCAGAGGGTAAATCTGTAGAGTTAGTTCTCTCTTTCCACCTTTGCATGGGTCCCAGGAATTAAACTCGGGTTGTCGGGCTTGCTCGGCAAGTGCCTTCGAGGTGTCTGCCCTACCTTGTTTTGTCGAGACAGAATCTCCCACTCATCTGGAATTTTCCAGGCATCTCCCTCTCTTTGCCTCCCCAGTTGCTGGGAAGACATGTGTGTCTCACCATGCTCAGTTTTTTTTTTTAAATTTATAGAGATTTTTTCTGTTAACTGTGTTGACTGTTCTGTCCTGGAATTTGCCCTGTAGACCAGGCTGGCCTCCAGCTCACAGAGATCCACCTGCTTCTGCTTCCTGAGTGCTGGGATCAAAGGCATGCACCACTACTGCTGGCTGCTGTTTTTTTTTTTTTTATTTTTATTTCTTTTGATTTTTGAGACAGAGTTTCTCCGTAGCTTTTTTTTTGGTTCCTGTCCTGGAACTAGCTCTTGTAGATCTGGCTGGCCTCGAACTCACAGAAATCCACCTGCCTCTGCCTCCCGAATGCTGGGATTAAAGG